TTTGGGTTTAACTTCTCGTCAGAACTGTGCAGGTAGTTCAAAATTCAGGTCACATCCGCGAGTATGATTTCCTGAACTAACAATAACTACCTGAGTTGGAGGGAGCAGCACATTCGTTTTTATGCGTTTTTGCATCATAAGTGCAAAAACATACTGTTAAAAGGTTACCCATATATACATGTGTATATGTGTATGCGTATGTGTATGTTCCAGTGACAGATTTCCTTTAACTTAAATGTTTTGCAACGAACTAGCCCAAAAAGGATCCGAACTTGAGTCTTTAGTTTTTGGAGGATATTGCCAATGCTATGCTAGGCCATTTCGTCATTAACTTTTGTCACTTCTTACTTGCAGGGTCTCGCGGATGGAGCTTCTTTTTAAAAATGGTTGTGGGTCAGGAGGGAATCTAACCACTCGTCTTCACATCCGGACGCAACATGCTAGACCCCTGCATCACCGGTTGTTGTGCTTCGCGCACCTGCCTAAGCACCCATGTGCATCTGGCTGCTTGCACTCCGTGCAGTTCACCCTCTCAACAATTGCCAGTTTTTTTATGGGACTGCCGAAACAGGGCAACACTTATATGTAGTTATTGCTCCAGTAGCTATTTCATTCTTGTCGGCTTCTCACGGACATTCTGCAAAAACTCCCAGATTGCGTCCTGTGAGACTGTGTAAGATTTACTTGAGCGACGAAGTTAAGGGTAGTAGGCTTTTGTCACCGCACAATTTCATTTGTATTTCTAAAAGAAACTTAACATAAAGATGGTTTTACTTGAACCCTACAGTAAAGCGTTTTTGCGCACTTTTGAAACTTCTGGCAGACCTCTTGTGGACCCGGTTCAGTCTTGTAAATCTGATGCGGCATGGTCAAGGGCGATGGACAGATATGATGTTGCTTAAAAGATCTAAGCATATCTTTGATTAGAAATTTTTACTTCTGAAATGAAAACAAAGAACTAATTTCCGTGTTTTTCGGTTTCCGATCTGTGAAGCTGCGAAATCAGCACAGCGAAGAACTGGAACTGTCATCTTTGCTTGTTTATCTGGAAATGCGTCGCCAAGGTGGTGAAAACGAGAAATTATATCCGCATATTGCTTTACAGGCTGGTCGATGCCTCACAGGTATATTTTTTCAGTAGTAGAAGTGTGAAAATATTTAGTTTTCTCCGAATCCGTTCGTGATCATCTCACTACCCGCTGTCTCTGTGAGAGGTAGAAGCGTGGGAAAGTGACCCAAGTTAAAAGTGCGTTTCTTTGTAAAAAAAAAATGATTTTCGAATTTTTCCAAGCATTTCTGCTACATGCCAAATCGTGAACACATCGTTTTCAGGTGGGATGCACAAATCATCAACATCATCAGGTATATTTTCGGCTCGTCTCAATTCAGCCGATCAGTGTAATTTTACTCCGTCCATTTCACGTCGCAGTTCGTCTATTGGAAGTCAGAGCCAGTGCTCTAACAATACGGAATTTGGCGAGTAAGCTTTGCAAACTTTTTAAATTTTTTAGCGCCTGTAAAATTCTGCACAAGTAGGGGCAGTGCTGTTCTGGTTGTTGCTGCCTGATTTGAACTGCTGAAAAGTTTTGAGCTGCTGAAATTATTGTTATTTTTTACAAAAGTTGATTCAGTACTTAACATGCTGGCATAGATGAGAACTTCAGTTAAACTGATTCTGTTGTCTGTGCAACGAATGATTAAGAAATGAGGATGAGGTCTATAAGAATGTGAATATGGCCGTCATGAAAAGCCTCAAAATTGGTACTGTCAGAAGCATGCTGACGACGTGGAAAAGGTATCCAACAAGTCTTTAAGACTTGAGACGTGAAATGGCCGATTGTCAAAATGCGAAGACAATCGAAATGACGAAGACAAAAGTGTTTGGTGAGGCAAACTGATCCGCTGCTCTCACGCATTATTCATATACCTCGAGGCTTGCGCAACGAAAAACTTTACTACATATATTCCTGTTCCTGTCGTTTAAAAAGACGATCTCCTGTATTCATCATCAAAAAATACAAAAGGCAGTCTGAATTTCTACGATTTGACGAGAAGTAATTTGGGGTCATTTGGAGCTTCACTAAATTTCGGCTGTTTTCTTTCGTGTTTTTGCAGACTGTTAAATATGTCTTTTGGAATTTCAGCATTTCTCCAGTGACAAAGAAGGAAAGT